GAATATTTCTATCATATTATTATATAGTAAATCATTTATTTAAAATGAATTGAAATATAATAATAAAAACAATAAAAATTTATTTAAAATATTTTAAAAACATATCAATAAATACTTACTATTAATATTAGTATTGACATTGGATTGTGGCTGACCAACTGTACCTCTTAAAATTTGTTGCCAATATAGTAAAGGATCATCGATCGCATTTGTTTGTGACGTCGTTGATGCTGTAGTATTCGTAGAGCTAGTATTGCTAGTAGTACTTGAAGTCGTGGCTGTAGTATAATAGTATTGTATGTGGAATAATAATTAATAAATAACAATTAATTAATATTTATTTTATTAATTAAAATACCTGTTTGTGTCTGAGATTGTGTTTCAGCCGTAGTTTGATTTGTTCGTGTTCCTTGTGACATAGATGTAACAGTACTAGAAGTTGCAGTTGTTGTACGACGAATGTGATGTGAATTACAAGAAAGGAATGGATCAAAATCAAATGCTTGACCTATACTCATACCAACACCTAAAGGATGAGTTTGTTGATGAAATACATGTGGACGTGATGTACTTCTAGTTTGTGTTGCTGTAGTAGGATGAGTACCAACATTGCTTCTAAAAAGTTTATAATATGTTTAGCAATTAAAAAAAAATATAAATTAATATCGATGCAACAATCGTCATAAAAAATAATAATAAACTTACCGTGCTTGTGTACTTTGTCCAGCATTTGTGTTTCCACTATCAAGCGATGCAACAGTTAATTGACTTACTGTTAAAGGATTTCGGGTTATAATTCTTGTATTAGCTGGACCACCTTGTACCATATGACCAGCAACAGCTTGCATCAAATTTCGTATAAAATCTGGTGGAGGAGCTGAACCCCAGGCAAATGGACCACCACTTGCTCTTCCTATAAGAACAAAAAAATAATAAACAAATATAAATGACAATTCAATATGGATTATAATATTAAATATTAAACTTACCACCATTATTATTGTTATTGTTGCTATTGTTATTATTTTCACCAGTTTGATTTTGTTCACTTCCAGGTGTAGCATCTATGTTACCTTCAGGACTGACTTCCATTAATACTTCAACATTGTTTGGTAAATTAAACACTGTACCTACAATATAATTTTTACTTTTTTATCTTAATAATTAATCTTTTATAATGTAAAAAATTGATATATATATACCAAATGGAGATTGTGTTGAATCTAATGATGGTTGTTGTTGTTGTTGTTGTTGTTGTTGCTGCTGCTGCTGCTGTTGTTGCTGTTCAGCTTGTTGTTGAACTCCACCAGATTCAGATTCTTGTTGTTGATTAGAATCATCAGTATTAGCTTCATTTGTTTCTAATTGAGTAGGTGTACTTGCAGATTCTCCATTTTCTTCGTTACCATTATTATTATTTGCGTTACGACCGTGTAAGCTAATATGTGCCTAAAGAAACATAATATAGAATAATTTTATTACACAAGGAACAGAATTCAAATATTATTGTCACTCATCCTCACCTCTACCTGGATTGGTATACCGGGCTGCAAAATAGCCGAATGTTGAATAATAATTGGTCTACATCGCAAATTTCTTGGCGGTGCCTGATTCATATCGACAATTATGTCACTTAAAGCATGACAAGCATGTGACATGTAATGTAAGCATTCACTAACATCATCCACAAATGATTGATTTTCAGTAACAAGTCTTCCCTAAATATAAACATTTTTTTATTTCAAATTATTCTAAAAGAAATCATTTATAAATGTTATGTACTTACTCCTGGAGGCAATGAAGGATCATCACGCATAAGTTTACGATAACGTTCTATATGAGGTCGTAATCGAGTTTGAGTATCAAGTAATAACTCCAATAATTCTGCTAATTGTGGTGGTCGCGGAAGTCTAAAAATAATAAATTATAAATTATGTAATAAAATTTTACATTATATGTATTATTATTATGCATAATTATTAGATAATATATATAAAGATGACATGCTTACTGTACTGATGATCGTCGATTGGACTGTTCATCATTATTTGATGTTGAACCTTGTTGTTCAGATTGAGCTTGTTGTGATTCTTGTGATTGTTGTGGATCTGATTGATTTTCTTCATTTACAGTCTCATTTGCAGATCTTGATTCAGCATTTTCATCACTATTTCCTATATTTTACATATAATTTATATTTTTACAATTATTTTATAATTACATTATTTCATTATATATATCATTATATCATCTTTTATATATAAATTTTTTTATATACAGACCTCTAAGTAATGTAACATTATTTGCTCCAGCTGCAGATAAGGCAGCTGCTATTGCAGCTGCAGCAGCTTCTGCCAATCGAGCACCACCATTTGTTGCATTTTCATTATTACTGAAAAGACTGAATAATTTATTAATTTATTTTACTATTTCATATAATAGTTATCAGAGCTCTTTCTCTTTTTTTTCTACTTACTATTGTTCTGCATCTAACTCTGATTCCTGCATCAATTGACTTAAAGGTGGTCGATTATTTTCAGATGCAGAAGAATTTACAGGATGAGAAGGACTTTCAATTCGATCCATAAGTCGGTCTGCACGTTCAAGCATATGTCTTGCAGCAATTAATCGCCCATTAGACAAACTGTTACTAAATTGAGGCACTGGTAATCCTATTAAATAATACAGTAGAATTAGAATATTTCATGGGATAAATATAAGTAAAATAATTAGAAAATATAAAAGAATTTAGAAATTATAGATTATATTTTATATTTATATGTATATATATTAGATATAATACCATGTCCTTCCACAATTTCAGCTGGTACAGACATTGCACCCAAATACATAGCATTGCCATGCATTTGAGCACGTGTCAGTCGATAATGTGTTCTTTGTGGATTTTGCCAGACCTGTGATCCTTGATTCTGACCTTGACCTTGACCTCCATCATTTCCACGTTGACCAGGTTGAGGTGGTGCACGTTGTACCAAATGTATTACTTTTCCATTAACATCTTATAAAATAATTAATTTTTAAAATATTTTATTTTATCATAATTGTATTATAAAATAGAATATTTTTTACCATAATCATTTAATTTTTTCTCATCTTGAAGAACTCTACCACAATAAATAAGTCTTTGCGAATCTGCTGGTACTGCCACTGTCTCTGCTATATATTCTTTAAAACCTCGAACAGTAATTTGCTATACGAAACATTTAAATTTTTTTTATAAAAATTATTTATTTTTTTAATAACAATATAATAATGATATGTGATAATATATTATAATGGAAATTCCAAATTTATTAGAAAATGATATCAATATAATATCTCAATATAATTAAACAAAAAAAACTTAAATACATTTCATTGTATATAAATGAAATATATACATTAATATATAATTTATATATATATATTTAATTATTTAATTAGTTTCCAATTACTACTAAAATTAATTGTATTAACAATATTATGATTATAATTTTATATTTTATAATTGATTATAAATGATTATATATTTTAAATAAAACATTAATAATATTAATAATAAACATTAAAATAATAAAAAATTAATGAATGAATTAGAAACTAATGTATATATAAATATATGTATATATACATATAATATATATATATGAATGATAAATCACAAGAATAATTACAGATGTAACCTAAAAAAATATTCAGAAATAAAATAATTAATGAATATATTTGAAAAAATCATATTTGTGATAATCATTTCTAAAATATATAATACATAAAAGTGAAAATATGAATAAAAATATGTTTTATCATACGGCATGTTATTCAGAATTATGATTATTAATATTAATTACAAACATACAAGATAGGAATTTATTGTCTGAAGATGAAAAAAAGAATACTTACATCATCTTCTAAGGAGAAAGCATGATTTTGTGAATCCAAAGTCTTTACCGTAAGATCAATCATCGTTAATCGGTCTTGACTGCTACGGTAGAACTAAAATTGAAGAAAATGAATAATATTAGGACGAATATGCGTAATACCAAATTGTCTTCTACACTCACGCAGGCACGTAGATATAAGTCTGTAAACGACACTTGATTAGTAGCTAGTATCGAAGAGAAATATTCAATATCTAAAATACGAGAAATATAATAATTTTAATGCGAATTGATTACGTAATTAAATTTTAGCATTGCGTTTTTATAGTGCAATCGTTTTTTTAATGAACCTACCGATGAAATTTTATAGCGACGATATGACACGATACACGTTATTTTACCCAGAATTCGCTTCAGCGACACCACAGGCGTTGCCAATATATTGGTTCAATTATTCCCTAGATAGAACAGAATTCAGAATTGATAAGAATCATATTTCTGTTATACGCACATATCTTGAAGTTTCTTTAATATCTACTAGATGACACCAGTAAATTAAACAAACGACGAAATATATAAATTAATTACTTATGTCATTGATTTGAATCAATAAATTAATTTCTTTCATTTAAAATCAACTTTGATCGTAAATAACATATTTATAAAAAATTAGAAATAAAGTATTATATATCAATAAAAGTTTAAGAATTATATTAGATTAATATAAATATTTGCATTATTTATAAAATTCTCATACAATAAATTATTTTATCTTTTAATTAAGATCTATTCAAAATACCTTATATGTAAATTATCCATTTTACATATTTTTTTTAAATCATACTTCTTTGTAGATTCTTTATATTTATATTTACATGTTACACTATAAATATAAAAAAAAAATATTCAAACCTTACTTCTTAATTTTTAGCAACTTGAAACTTAAGAAAATAAAGATAAATAAAGAAAAATAAAGAAGCTATCGTTGCAATATTCAGCTTTATCGACGGAATCTCCCAAATACACGATACAAAATTCACTTTCGATTGGATTATTCCTTAAGGTGTCGCTTTGAAGCATGAAGTCGAATAACAAATATCGAAACATCTGTATCGATCTGTACCAGTAGCAGAAATCGATGCATCTTTTCGCGGTCAGATGAAAATAATTCGAGTGTTACCAACGAATATCGAAAGCGAGGTATCAACTCGTCATGGACATCGCGTGATCTGTACGAAGATGAAAAAGAGAAGCAGAAGAGACTCATGGCAGGCCGATCGCATTATTCAGATTAGGGCATCGACTGAGCCACGCGAGTATGCGAGTACACGCGTTTCTTTGTATGCGTATGCACGTGTACGTACTTATATCGGTAGAAGATAATACGGCCGATCGTGCACCGCAGAAGAATGTTAATGGTGCTTCAGTTTTGTATGCAGGAAGTGACGGCGCGTCCCGTCTCATACCGTAGCGGGTCCCGGCGCCCCAGCGTCCGAGCAGAAAAAGGCACAATAAGACTGATAGAACTGAAAAACCAAGAGATTCACGTTGCCGTGTTGGAGGAAGGAAAGAGAGATGCTCCTTTAAATCCCATCATAAAGACACATAGCCAGAGGCTCTCAACATTCTTCAAAAATGACATATTTTTATCATATTTTTCAATTTTATATTTGGTAAGGTTGATATTTTTTATTCTAATAATATTGTAATGAATATACATACATGGTGTATATATATATATATATAATATATGTATATACATTATTGATAAAATTATATAATATATATAAATTGATAAATATATATATTTATATTAGTATATGATAAATTTTATCAATTATAATTATGATTATTTTATAATTTGATCATTAAAGATTAATTTGATCATTAAAATAAGATTAGTAAAAAATATATAAATAGTAACAGAAATGATTTATGATCGTTTGATTACGTAATGTATTTAATTATATTAATATATATTCAAGATCGTTAGTATTAACGATATCATTATTATTAATGTTATTGCATTTCTGTATGAAAATATGATATATATTTAAAGAATGAAGACTACTGTATCAATGCAACGTTAGAAAAACTAACTGCTTACGTCTTGGCCCTATGGAACAAGAAATAAGAGGCGCCAGCCAAAGTTACAGCTTCGTAATGATGTAGCTATCTTGATTTAACATACCTCACAATCTTGTCCGTTAGTACACGCTTAACTTGCTTTACTAGTACGAGCTTTGCCGTTCTTGGCATAGCTTAACCCATCTATATTTCCTTTACTGCTAATAATAATGATAGGATGAGAAGCAAAGAAAAAACGAGAAAGACCATCGATTGAATGAAAAGAAATACGGATGAATGGAAATAAAGAAATAAAAAAAAGGAAATAGACGAAAGAGGTATCTTTAACAATTCTTAAGAATTATCTAAACTCAAGATAAAGTAAATTGTTCATCACACCTAATATTTAAAGGAAAATAAAATAAGATATCATGTATATCAAGATCGTTGTTCTTAGATAAACATACCGATGTCACTGCCACTCGATATAAATGATTATCAATTACTGAAATACCTGGTCGATTAATAGTTACACCGATTCATCAATCTTCGACGAAGAAGAAGAACGTCGTTACACATACACATGTAAGCACGTATATACATCGTACAAACACAGATGGAACTGGTATGCTCCACATACTGATTTTAAACGAATCTTACGAAGAATTCGAAATGCCAACTTAGCTTTGACTATCTCACACTACCTTAATGCTTTTATATCCTCTAAACTGCTACTGGCTGCTGTCTCCTTTATCATCCTCTTTCTTCCTTTCAGTCGTTCTTCTTCCACGACAAGAAAACGAGGAGTTCGCGTGCGTGTCTTGAAGCTATGCAACGGGGAGAGAGATCCAGGGAAGCTGGTAGAAGAGATAAACCAATACCGAGGCCGGTAGCGAGCAATGCGTGACACGTTGAACCGTATGTATACGTGTGTGTTGGCGCCAGGCCGCATTCTCGCATTCGTTAACTAACACATCGTGTTAGCCTCTCCGCAGCTCGTGCCTTGTTTTCCCTTGCCTTCCCCCTACCTCCACCTTCTCGTGCTCCACTCCACCCCTTCCTCCTCTAACCCTTTCAATATTAAGAGCGGTCACGGATCCCAAATTTGCCATCCGTGGGGAGGCGGGGCACCGATTTGTCCTCGTCCCGTTTGTACGCTACCGGTACTAAGGTGGTAAGATGACCGGTTTCTACTGGTGTACATCGGCCGCCAATCGTGTTTTGGAATAAAAACGGTTCTCCAGAGGAGACACTATATCCGTGTCCAGCTATCGAAATTTATTGTCTCGACGATTATCAATCGCGATATCATTTCATCCTTGAAATCCGATGACGCATATTTGTCAACTACGAAGACTATACTTATAAAACAAGAACTGTCTTTCAGTTCTTCATCGTATATATTTTATGCATAACTTCTTCTTCGAGCATTTTCTCGTTTATCTTTGTGGTCAAGGCAAGTTCCATATGTGGAATATATATATATATCTGTTCAAGTGTGTTTGACAGATAGAGCACGACATATTCATGGAACGTGTTAATGATGCAAGTGAGGCGAAAAATGGGTCCAGAAGTTTCTTTCTTCTCTCATCGAAGAGAACCGCGATGATACATCGTGTCAATGGAATTCATAGAAACCGGACGGTGAAAATACAAGAGGCACGCGGACTGTCAGATATTTACTGTTGCTTCAATGATCCACGAAGAGATGTCTGATCGTTGAGGTCGGTAATTAATCCGGTATTGGTTTACAATGAACGAAAGATAGCATTGAAAGATCATTTATAATCAATACTACAATATGTAATTCAATAAACGAACAGTATGAATATTTCGAATCGAGAGATTTTTCTCATTTTATTAAAAAAATGTTTTAATATTTTAATGTTTCAATATTTAAGGATTATTAAGTTAAAAATGTGATTAAAGTATTGTATAATTTAAATAAATTAGGGAAGCAAAAAAAAAAATACAAGATCATTATCGCCTAACATTAACAATACTTATTGTACCTGAGATAATTGCAGGATCGTGACCTGTGTTATACCACGTAAAAGACAAGACACGTGTACCAACTTGACACATACTTTGATAGTCGTGTCAGTCCTTGCTAACTTTTTAACATTTACAAAGATTAGTAGCTCAACGGCAAAAACGGGGAGGATGACGAAAAGGAGAAAAAGAAGACCGAGAACTTCAACGGATTAACATTCCAGTAGCGTTCCTAACTGCTTCGAAATTCATCGCGACAACGCAAGTGATAACATCTATAAGGGGATCAAGAGGACTTTTTTAACAGCTCGCGAAATTGAGTGTGTCAACAAAAATGATACGAGGTATGAAAATAAAATAATGATACGAAACGATGAGAATTAATTTTACTCAATTATATTATATTATATATTATATTTTAGATGCACTTTTTTTATAATTTATGATTTATTCATGGAAGCAATAAAGAAGAAAATGATGAAAAATGTATGTTATTACTGAATCAATTTCTTTTCAGAAATATTCCTATTACTTTATTTATTTCGAAATTCATCTTGATCAAGTAAAATGATCACTACAAGAGTATAGGTTTCATCGAGATTATCAATAGATATATCGATTAACGATTTTCATATTTCAAACTTCAACACAACAACAGAGCGATAATAATAACAAGAAGAAAAAAAAAAAAAGAAAAGAGAGCGATGAAAATGCACAAGTTTCACCGAACCAACATTCCAAGAGCGTTCTTGGCAGTTCACCTACCTCAAAATCCATCCTCCCTCTCTTCTTCTGGGATACGTATGGCGCTTAGCCATGCTTTCTAAAATGCGATTCGAAGGAAGGATGATGCCGATCTCGTTGCATTGACAAATTTGTTAGTAAAAGAAGAAAAAAAAAAATAAAAATAAAAATAAAAATAGAAGATATTCATCGGTGATAAAGAAGTTATCCTGCATATCGTATTAATGCATCGCAATTAAACACATCTTGTTTACATGTAAATTTTAATAAGCACGTCTTACATCGTGTATAAATTTGCATATGCGCACAGAATGTAATAAGCATCTGGAATTAATGTTATCGCGCACGAAGTAGTCGGGATTAAAAAACGTCTACTATCAGATGAGAAAACGATCAGTGTTATGGACCGAAGAGAGATAAAAGAAAAAAAAAAAAAAAAAAAAAAACTTGAAAATATGTAATTCGAGTAACGATAACGCGTTTACATCGTTCAAAATGTTTCATAGTATCAATTGTTATTAGGTCCGACTGTCGATCGTACGTATCATTTACTAGCCACTAAGATGGAGGAAGAAAGACTACAAGGAAAAGAGTGGGTAAGATATCGACGAGCAGAGGACAAGGAGAGAGGATGAGAAAGGGAGAAAGAGTGAAAAGAAAGATAGGGATCCACGAGCGAATTATCTGGTATTTTCTTTCAGCCTACGAACCCTGAAGCGGCTAAGCAAAGGTCAAAAGTTGAGCAATGCTCCTCTTATCGGTGCAAACACGCCTTTGCATATGCAGTGCGCCAGCATTGAGAGATTGACGATGCTTCTTGCTGCCTGTGCAGTGAGAAACGTGCAGTGCAGCATCTTCTTCAAAAAAAAAAAGAACGAAATCGATTTTACTCGTGAAAATCATGGAACGAGCAAAAAGTAGCCTTCTATCGTTATCGATATTGTTGACCATCTATCACAATCGAGAAGACTTATCTCGCGATAGAAGTTGTACCACGGAACTAAGGAAGTACGTTTCACGTGTGCTTGATTTCCGATGGTTGCCGATCCGAAGCGAAACACGATACGGCAAATGATAGATCGACAGGTGAAAATCGATAAAAAGATAGAAACGAAGAGGGAAAAGAAGAGGGACATCCACTTGGTGTACGCACATAATGTACGAGTCCTGAGAGGAGTCCCTCCCGGAGGCGCGGCGCCGCGCCGCGCCACGGCACGACGTTGTGACTATAAGTAAGTCTCGCGCGGCGCGCCGCGGCTTAATGCCGTTGCCGCGTTCGTGGCGCCAAGAGGAGGGCCCATTGGCGACGATAAGCCTCCTTCGTGTCCGGCACGGACGAGAAAAAGAAAGAGAGAAAAACGGAGATAGATACACAGCAGCCAGCTTTCACCCGCGTTTCAGCAGTGAATATATATACCCCGTCGGGGTGTGGATCGCGACAGTGTAGATAATACGTAGCTGTCAGTCGTATCCGGCCAGTGTCAGTCTAAGAGTTGGTATCTATCGGTGAAACAAGAGAGTGGCCAAGTGTCGTTTGTGATCCATTTAATAACAATTTACCTTGGAAAAGGAAAACAACCCTTATTTCGTTATCGTTCGAAATTGAATGATCGGCGGTACCGACTTTCCCTTTCTATTATCGTTTATCCCGATCACCAATGATTTCTTCGAACCAAAAAATTTCATCCGAATTTGAATTCGTTTGAATGAAACGATATTCGACTCGTTCAGAACCGAATCGTTCGTCCGTCGCTTTTATTTTATAAGTGAACAACAACAACTCTTTATTCATTATCTGGTGATTATAATATTATCTTAATATTGTGTCGTGTAACTTGGATATTTGGTATATCAATAATAACACGAAGTGTGAGTGTCGAATATATAATAGGGTAGTGGCGACAGAGACAGAGAAGATCAGGTGGACAAGGATCGGTAGAAGGTGGTTGGTATCAAGGGGGTGCGCATGATCCCTGGGGAAGGATCACCTCTGTCGACGAGCGCGGGCCTCTCTACTGGCCCGTTTGGATGGTGATCAGTGGTGGCCGTATTTTGACATTCGAACCACCATGTCAGGGCTGCTTTACACGCTTTTAGGGTTGGCGGCTAGCACGAGCCTCCATTGTGCCGTTCGCCGCGAGATAAGCCCGTGCACCTGCCGACAGGAAGAGTTCTCCAGTTCCGTTATCAACCCGGGCCAGTCCGCCGCTGCTGCAGCAGCTGCCGCGGTCGCTACTGCAACCGCTAGCAACGCCGGCCACCATGGAGGGCATGGGGAACGGATCGAGGTCGTGTGCGAGAAAATGGACTCTTTCGAACAAGTGGCAGGGGCGTTAAGGGGCAAATTCACCGCTGAACAACAGATTACCTTACGTGTCGCGCATTCGAATCTCAGGGATATATCGCGGCACGATTTTAAAGAGCTGCGGATGTCCATCACGAAACTCGAGTTGAATCACGATCGACTAGGGTGAGTGTGTAAGTTTACCTGCATCGAACGGGACCTGTATCTTGTAGATTTATCAGTTGTAGAATAGAACAATTTTTCTGAAACAAATCCGTTTGTTTCGTTGCGTGTTCTTCGTGTGTCTGTGTGTATTTCTTTGTAATTATTCTAATCGCTTTTTTTTTTTCTTATCCCAATATTGTGAAATTTTTTTTTTTTTTTCTCCACTTCGTTTCATCATTCAGGAATTTGAATGTTTTTCCTTTCAGAAGCACGTTGAGTATGAGTTAAGTTTGCTCAAGTTTAAGACGATAGTACGAGTTCGATTTTCGCTCACCGAGCAATCTCGCGGTTTCTTCAAGATATATTTTCTTCATGGATATGTGAAAGGCGTAAAATCAATTTGAAATTCCTCGAGTTTTTCCATTGTGGATGAAGAAAATTGTGCGACGCCGATAATGATCCGTGGATAAATGATATCAGGCCACGTATAACAACGCGTTTACAGTGATCACGTTCCTAGAAGTTCTATTTATTCGTTTATTTATTTATTTATTTTTTTTTTTATCCAATTTATTTGCGCAGTTTATTCCTTGTGAGAGGAAATTTTAGGTGAAAATTCAGTCTCGAGATGAATAAAAAATCTCTCTGGATAATGTATATGTATTAAAAATATCACGATCATTTTATTATCATTATCAATAAGAAATTTTTATTTTATAAAATTTATTAATATGAAAAATTTTAAATTTTATTATAGCATTGACTTCACGTATCCATGTTTAACGTGTCGTCTGACCACATCCCGCTTGTCTGACCATAAAGTTCCTTAATCACTTACGAAATGTCGTCACAACTTTCGTAAAGTATAAAGTATAAGCGAATTGTAAGCGTGAAAAGAAAGAAATTCAAGGAACGTGTGTATAGAAAGGATAACAGAAAATTTATGACATATATTTGTCATTCGAAACTCATAAAAAAACACGTTTACAAATGTATCGTATACATTATCGATACAAGCAACAATCTGTTCACAAAAGGTCACCGTTTGATGTTGCGAATAAAGACATTTATAAGGCAACAAAGAAACGATTCTAGAATCTGATAAAATTATTTTATACACGAAAAATTTTTTACAATTAAATTTAATGGAAGAATTCTATTCAAATTATTCGAAAAAATGAAATGGAAAATATTTCAATAAAAATATGATGCGTTTTGCAGTTATAAATACCTGCAAAAAGGCCTTCAATTTACAATACATTAATTCTAATGCACGTGTTGTATACGTTGGGTATAATTACTATAATCTTTGTCCTCTCATTTATCTTTGAAAGATATTATTTGCTTATACGTTATATTTTATATTCTGTTCAGATAAAATATTAAATAATACGTCGATAATTCGATAATAAGGCGAAAAATAAAAGTTTCAATATCCCAGAAATTCCCACATTGTATCGAATTAATGTATCAAATTTTATTAAGATTCGAGAAACAACGGAATAAAGATTATAAAGGTAACATTCATGTCTTTGTTATGAGTCCTTGAAAAAATAATTGCTTTACAGAAAAAAATAATGTATTCATATATATCATATAGTCGATGAGAGATTTCATCGATCGTTAATTATCATCAATTTATCATCGATTAAAAATGGATGTATGAAAAATGGCGAGAATTTCTTTGTTTCTAGTTAGTATGCAAATATTGTCCTTTTTGTCTCTTCAAATGGGCATAATGGACGAGCACTGGTCTTCCTTGATTATCCTGATACTTGGTCAGATGAGAAAAAACGAAGTTCACGTCGGACGAACAATCATCAATCGTCGTCGTTCCTCGCGAAAGATAGAAAAAGAGGCAAAGCTATGGGCGCGAGAATGAAATCTTAATCGTGCCTGACCTCTTCGAATGAGTTATCAAGAAGAAGAAGCCCTGCGCTTATCGTATTGGAATAATTAAATAACGAAATGCTGTGAGCCAACATTATGTGAATAATTGAACGATAATGACCGTGTCTCATCTTGGTTTTTACAGTTAAATTTTTCACTGGTCCGTTCGTTTTGAACTTGCATGTCTTGATAAAGATTTGTACAATTCTAGAAGTATGATTATATGACAATTTCAATTATTTAAAAAAAAAGAAAAAAAGAAATTTTGAAAAATAGAAACGCAGATTAGATATTTTTGTTTTTTTAATTAAATTTTTATATTTAATTAATTGCTCTAATATGATACTTAATAAATTATTTATTCTTTCTAGGAATAGATGGATTGTTTTTTGAAATATAATATGAGATACGATATGCATAGATATTATAAGCCAAATATTTTTACAAAAGTTTCGTACGTTATTTTTTTCTATAATTCTAATATAGTTTCATGAAAAATATATATATATCATGAAAATAATATACATTGTATAAAAGTTGTATCTTATGAGGAAAGATATGAGCTTTCTAGAACAATTAAAAAAATTATATTTTATCGGAGGGGTCTTTACAACTTAATGATTCATGATGGAAATTTGTCGAAATACAAATGATTAAACGGTTTGATAACCGTTCTTATATCTTGTATTTAATATATAACAATCCTTTTCCTTAATTCGAATATCAAGAAAAAATGTAAGCTCATTTTGTTGATCCGTGACTAGGACAATAAACGATAACTTCGCTTCACTTTAGATAATTGAGGATTGATTGTATATCGCTTGTTAGCTATGTGTTTTCAAGGGCCACATGTTGTTAGCTTTCTGTTCGCCTCTGTACGTAAGAAGATAACGCATTATCGGCAAATGATATTCCAAATTTCTGGAGGACAAGAAAATTTTTATTATTTCGGCCATCATTTTCAACAATCTTAATTATTTTAAGATATTAATCTTAAAATAACGAAGTTATTTTGATAAAGCAAATTTCTACGCCATTCAAGAAAATAATTCATGTTTTATAAATAATAAGACAAAGAATCCGCATTACAATTCTTGCGAATAAATTTATTATTTCTTCGAATCAATGAAATTTCTCGTTCGATTGTGATAAACTCGTTTCGCTCAATTGAATTGCAGTGGAATGCGTATGCCTTGTAAATATCTGAATTATTATTTCACGATGATGTATGATTTTGATGCGAAAATATGCGATCTTGAGCGTTAATAAGAAATTTATTTAAAATAGATCTGTGCACAATAGAATTAAAGAAACTTGATGTTTTGTAGGTTCGTAGATGGTGAAGTTTTTGCGGGGTTGGGAAGAACGCAATATCTTAGTCTCGCGGATAACGAAGTACCGTCGATACCAAGACATATTCTGTCTCATCTATCTTTACTGAGGACCCTAGATCTCAGCAGAAATCGGATAAATCGTATAGACTCGGATGACTTTAAGGTATGCATGCGTACTCATAAGAACATTTCATCACTGCCTATTAGTTTTCTTCCTCGTGAGTGAATATATAAATGCATCGAGACACGTGTTCAGGAATCGAAGCTTTCTTATGCGCTTCTAGACGCGTAAGAACTCTGAATCGTAATATATCAAACTGTTTATCGATCATTTATGCGCAAATATTAAACACGTAGTTGAGATTCCCTGACGCGATTGATCACGATTTGCAAATACGTTGTTTCAATTATCTGAATTTTTTAATTAATTTTTTTTTCAATTATTTGAAATTATTTTTTTTTTTTTCTTAATATCTTATATAAAATGCTTATAGGAAAATATGAATGGAGAAGGTAAATGGAAAAATAAATCACCCGATAGTGATAACATCAAAACAGTTTATAAACAGGAAGAAAATAAATTATAAATACGTCATAATGGCGATCAATATATAAGAGTTGACGTAACCTTTTTTGACCGTTTCAATATTTCTGCAAAGATTTGCATTTATCGAACCGATTAAGTCTGATCTGATTCGCATGATCGAATGATCGACCGTTTGCGAACATATTCAATGTAGCGATATTAAATAAATAAATCATAAATTATATAAAAATCGTTTCAGATCGGCACGTTGAACATTTACGTGATGTTACATATATATACGAGAATCATCCGATCGAAGATTTTTCATTTTTATTCGTTCATTTTTCTTTTTTTTTTTAATTTTCTACTTTTTTTCATTGTAACAAAATCAATAGGATAGAAAAGTAATTTCTTTTAAACACGTTTTACACACTATGCATGACTTCATGATATATTTGTAACCTGCGTATGAACGAACAATTCATCTCGAAGAGAGGAAGACAGCTAGTAGAGCTTGGTGGGGTTTCCCTGGCGCTTGTCGCGCACGTGACTGGCCACGTGCACAGAATTGTCCGCCGATCGTTCCCCAGACGAATCGTACTACTTATGAGAATTTTTTTCTACGATTCGTGCCTCTGTGTGATTTATCACACTTATTCACAAAACAAGAAAAGAAAAATACGAAAAAATAAAAAAAATAGAAATGTAAAAAACTTGTGTGCAAACTTTTTTTTCAAAAAAATTAATTTTCTTTTTTAGACCGACTATTTTTCAATCTTGAGAAGATAGAAGAATAATCGCAAACGTTGCTATTTAGAGAGCCATATGTTACATATGTTCTATATATGACACGTTTGCTCATAAAGTTAAATCTATTATTATTCGTATTTTTATAAGTAAAAGAAAGTAAAGAATTCGTAATGTTCTCTAAACTAACCGAGATACGCTAAATTCATGCTTATTCATGCACTTTATAGTGAATTAAATATCTCTGAACATTCTATTAAATATATGTAAATAGGAGAAAAACAGATAAATTTGATGTAACAATACCGCCTATGTGATGAATTATCAGAGAAAAATGTTTATCGTCTGACAGTTGTAAACAGCTGTTGATTCGAGTTGATCGGTTTCAGTAAATGCGAACAACAACATTTTAAACTCTTCCGTTGCATCATGAACTTTCAGTATAGTTCAAAAAATTTTCGCTATATATAAAACAATGTTGCTTCAGTAAGCTGTTAATATTTATCATATAACGCCATTCTTGGTTAAACGTCGCACATCCTCGTATTTAATCGCGTTTGTCGATACTGCTAAATATTATCTCTTTAAATCATCTTTCATTTCTTCCTTTCCTCCTTGCTTCTCTCTCTCTCCCTCTCTCTCTCTCTCTCTTGTTCGTTGTCTCGCTCCTCTCACGCACTGTTTTTATATAAATCAAGCGATAAATTTATTTTATACGAAATAATATATAATATGAACAAAAAAAAAATCTATATAATTAAAAATCCTTCTAATATATGTATTCTCAAAATGCATTTTTTTTTACCTATGATTTTCAGTACAATCCGACATTACAACATCTTCTTCTGGCCGGAAATGCAATTTCAGAAATGGTGCCAGGCTCGTTACCACCGTTAGTGAAGCACTTACACGTCGGCCGCAATCATTTGCAAAGCCTGAATCGAACCTTACGGTACGACACTTTCTTGATTACCGAAAATTTACGTCCATTCACGAACCTCCTAGAATGTATCGGACATCCTGTTTACAATTCCGACAGTGGCTCTTAATTGGCTCTATTCATCGTTGATGCAAAGAACCAAGCTCCTTGGACTCGGCCGAATGATTAAGCAAACGTGCACGCGTATTATATGCAAAGGAGAGAACAATTAAGCTCGCGATCTCTAGTCACATGTTTGAGATTATGTATAATTTTTAAGAATCATTTTCTTTTTCCTTCCTTCTCTCTCTCTCTCTCCTCCTCTCTCTCTCTCTCTTGTTCGTTTGCTCGCTCGCTCTCACGCACTGTTTTTATATAAATCAAGCGATAAATTATTTTATACGAAATAATATATAATATGAACAAAAAAAAATCTATATAATTAAAAATCCTTCTAATATATGTATTCTCAAAATGCATTTTTTTTTACCTATGATTTTCAGTACAATCCGACATTACAACATCTTCTTCTGGCCGGAAATGCAATTTCAGAAATGGTGCCAGGCTCGTTACCACCGTTAGTGAAGCACTTACACGTCGGCCGCAATCATTTGCAAAGCCTGAATCGAACCTTACGGTACGACACTTTCTTGATTACCGAAAATTTACGTCCATTCACGAACCTCCTAGAATGTATCGGACATCCTGTTTACAATTCCGACAGTGGCTCTTAATTGGCTCTATTCATCGTTGATGCAAAGAACCAAGCTCCTTGGACTCGGCCGAATGATTAAGCAAACGTGCACGCGTATTATATGCAAAGGAGAGAACAATTAAGCTCGCGATCTCTAGTCACATGTTTGAGATTATGTATAATTTTTAAGAATCATTTTCTTTTTTTCTCTCTCTTTTTCTTTCTCTTCTTTTTCTTCTTCTTCTTCTTCTTTGTTTTTTAATTGGATCAATAGAGAAAGAAAAATAATAAGAAGATAAAAAATAGAAGAAAAATTAAGAAATATTCATTTTGTTCATCTAACGAAAGCAAATAACGGTTTATTTATTATTTTTTTTTTTTTTGGAGCGAATTTTATCGGAACGTGAGGTTCGCCATGCACGTGGCTTAATCTTGTTTCAGAGATTTGAATCAGTTGGAGTGGTTGCTAATTAACGCCAACGAGCTCTCGTCTCTGGATGGCGAGCTACCGTCTTCTGGCCATAATCTGAAGATGCTCTACGCCGTGGACAATAAATTAACTCACTTGCCGGTGGAATTTCGTTACCTGCATCGTTTGGAAAGTCTGTATCTTCAACACAATAAGATTCGCAGTTTGGATGGTACGCTACAAAAGGCACGTCGATTGAAATTTCTCGAACTTTCGCACAACGATCTGCAAGAGGTAATTAATCATGATCAATAATATCGTTAACAAAATATTAATCCCCTAATTATAATTTATTTTTATAATATATTAGAAAAAATAATTATCATTTATTTACTTCAAGTATTTTTTTTTTCTCAAAAATATAAGAAATATATTGTTCCGTTTATAACATCGTAAAATAGTTTATATTAATTTATTTTATTAAATTATAATTTAATTTAATAAATATCATCTATAAGTATGATGTTGATATCGAAGCAATAGTGGTTTATAAAACATGTAGATACTCATATGAAGTGCAAGTGCACGATCGCGATGTATGATAACGCGTGGAGGCGTTCGTTCAATGTTCCGTGCATTAAGTCAATTACTACATCCTAATGTAATTATTATGTCGTGCGCTTCCGTTTCGCGGATTAAATTTTTATTGCAATGGACGGCTGGTATTCGATGGTCTTCTTCGTCATTCGTCAACGTTTGATAGATATTTTTGATCAGAATCTAGAAAGATTTCATATTTAACAAATTAATATAATTTTCTTTCTAATAATAATAATTCTAAACAAATTTCTAATTCTTATAATATTGATATGATTTTCTAAACGAATAAATTGTTTTATTCTGAAGTAAAATATATATTTTAAAAATAAAATTTGAATTTAAATGAGAAATTTATACAAATAGATATAAAATATATAATAATATATATATATATATGGTAATAAGATAATAAATAGAAAACAAGAAATATTATTAAAGATAATATTATAAGTAAAATATTTTTTCTCAGTTAACGGAAGAGGATTTCATAGAAGCTGAAATGTTAGAGGACTTAGAGCTTGGGCACAATTCTCTAAAATCGTTGGATAGCGCAGGTGATAATGGCGACGGAAATGGGGGCAACAGTGTCCTTTACCCTCTTAGATCGCTCAAGTGTTAAATTTGACGCACAACGAGCTTCGTGAATTTTCATTCGCGTCACTTCGTGGTCTGCGCGAGCTACGAATGCTTGATCTCTCGAACAACAGAATCGCGCGGCTCCACAGAGGAAGAACGCCATCAGAGGTACTTTGATAAATGTATTTTCAAATTTATATAGAGGAACATTTGATAATTTTTATTTGTAATATGATTATTCTGATTATTATTCTAAAAAATAGAATTGAAATATAATATTAAAGAATTAATATTCATTATCGACATATTACTTCTTGCTTACCAACATATTTGACATATATGTTGAACTATTTAAATATTTTGTTGTATATAAGTTAGATATAAAAATATTTTCTCCAAATATATGAATGAATTTAATAGAATAATATTTCTTCAAATGGATTAAATATTCATATTGCAAATAAAAAATATTATTACTTATTATTTTTAAGATAAATCTATAAAGAAATATATTTTAATGTACTTGGTTAAAAATTTTAATCAAATATAAAAAAATATATAACTTTATATCCTCGTCGACTTATTTTTATAGAATTTAGTAGAAGAGGAAGGGGATGAAACGGCAGGCGGAAATATTCAAGATATGCGACTTCAGCATAACGAGCTACGAAGCTTGGATGGTTCTTTGTTTCTTGGAATGAAGGAATTGCAGAGGTTGAATCTAAGTCATAATGCTTTAGGACCAACAATTGGTCAACGCGATCTACGAGGTCTTGATGGTCTAAAAGTACTTGATCTTTCTCATAATGAGCTTACCACTCTTGAAGATACATCAGAGGTACATTAATATACATGAAATTAATTCACACACCTGTTTTTATCGAATGATTGTATAGTTTCATTAGAATATTTGATTTATTCAGATATTGAACATACATTGAAATGTTAAAGAATTAAATTTTTCCTACAAATCAATGATTAATTAAAAAAACATGTGATATATACAAATCTCAAAATAGATGTATAATGATACCTTTTTCGAAAAAAATGTTTCCTTATTACCATATTTATAATCATGATATTTCTGTATAGACATGGCTTCCTTCTCTGGAAGAACTGAATGCATCACATAATCGTTTAGTAACGTTATCTGAAAGAGACTTTCGTGGATTTCCCGTTCTCTGTTGGGCAGACGTGAGCGCGAATCGGATACGTATTCTGATGCCGGAACTTGTGGCAAATACACGGTGTACTGTTCACGGAGTGCCAGATGTGCTTCGTATATATCTGCAAGGTAAGCTCAAATTATTATCAGTATTATAATAGTACATTATCGTGAATGTTATATTATTAATGAAACTTGAATAAATTTGTTTAGCCTTAATTTTATCTCTTTCTTTATACATTTAGATATTTAAAATAAATTATTAGAGATGACTTATAAAAGTCGCGTAAATTTCCATAAAATTTAAATAAGGAGAATTATTTGATTATTGATTAATTATTTCTTACATTATTTATTTATTGATAAAATAATTAATATAACAATATTTAAATTTTAGATTTAAATTTTATTTCAAATAAATAAATAAAATTTTTTTTAAATAAAAAATCTCATTATTTTTAAAATGCTTATTATTGTAAAATGATACAATTAGAAAAAAGAAAAAGAGAATAAAAAAACTTTTTTTATAAATAAGAAAAATATATATACTTCTTTTTATATAAATATCTATTGAATTTGAAATAGATTTTTCTTTCAATAAATGAATATCTGCAATATAGTTTGGGAAATTCTATTATATTATTAAAATATTAAATTTTTCTTTGATTTCGAGATTGTTTTTGAATTGTTGGTGAATTTGACAAGTGAATATCTTCCAATTAAACTATTGCAATTAGACATTATTTTATGAAATATATTATAATAAATTTAATTTTAATTTACTTTTAATACAAAAGTTGCTAAACTATTTTTTTAATTATATTTAACATTTGCAATTGATTTAATAGAAAGTTAATGCTTCGTTTAATGTATAAATATTGATAAATTACAATCCAGAATTTTTTTTTATTGCGCAATAAAAAACGATAAACACAGGTGTATATGATTTCATATTATCATTTAGGAATATCATTTTGTTGAATAAAAATTTTTATTGTTTGTTTTTTTCCATAAAACATGGAAATTTTAATTTCTAAATTTCTAATAAATTGCAGATCATATTAAACAAAATCGAAAATTTTTCAACTCTTAATTTAAATTCTTAAAATTGAATGATATTAAATAATAATTATATTGATAAAGCTGACACAATCGTAGAAATTTAAAAAAAATATATATTTAAATACGATATAAAGAATAAATAATAAAGAATAATAAAGAATAATTTTAATATTGATGTACTATAAGATCGAAAGAGAAAACAAGCAATGCTTATAATATTCTTAATAACGTATTATGCGCAAATACGCGTAATCGTCTGGTTCGTACAACGTCGAGTCATCCGATCGTACGATATGAACGGTCATTCGATTTCGTTTTCCACCCTCACAAAAGGATAACGTCTTTGTGGAACGCAGACGCGTTGAATGGGCGCCAGTGCGTAATTAATAAACACATCGTTAAATGTCGCGAGGCCAACCGATGAAAGAAGAAACGAGACAGAATGAGGGAACGGGTCATGAGAGTGGTCGGTGTCGGCAGAAAATAAATTACTGCTTGATAATAACGTGGCTCCATTTGGCTCCCAAGCTGTACATTATTTTGTTATAAGTTACATTTTATAATGATAACCTCCGTCGTGGCGCCATCTCGTATTATTTATTGTATACCAAAGATGGATTGTTAACTGTTATTTATTGTTAAACATATACAAGTTTTCGTGGTACCGTTATCACGTTCAATTCTGTTATTTCAGTTAGCTTTGTTATTTTCTCAGATTTTTATTCACTTTCATTGAAGTTTTCTTTTTCACAATCTGCAAATGAATGATACGATAATTCTATTGCTTTTTTTTATTATTATGTTATCGAATTCGTGAGATATGATCAAATCATATATATATATATATATATGCATGTTCATGAAATTTTTGAGATCCTATAAATTCATCATCATGATGCAAATATGCATTTTCTGTATCATGACATATTAAATCTGGAATAATTTTTTCAATAGATCTTAAGGAACTATTATGATATCATAATTGTATAATGATGCTTTTATTGCTTCAAAAATTCGCCAGACAGACTCATATCTAGCTTCTTACTTATCTTGTCTTGCTGACGATACTTCATAAAAAAAAGAAGAGCTTCCCCTTGCGATATTCCGATGTTTTTTGCTTACAGATAATCCGGTGTTGTGTGATCCTGGACTCGCAGACCTGACCGTGGCTTTCGAAGTTAATCACGCAAAAGTTTATGGTGTTGCCAATAATTGTCCGACTACCGTGGCGACTCCTACCGAACAAACATCGCCACTTCCGCCATTGCCACCGACGCTGTTGTTAGCTGCCGCGGCAGCTGCTTCCGGAGGAAATGTTTCTTTCGCCGCGACACTTGAGTAATTCATTATAAAATAGAATAAGAATTCTAAAATGTGATCAATCGACAAAGAAAGTTTGAATGAAAACGAAGAAAAATGAAGGATCGAGAAGAAGAATTCTTCGATTAACAGTTACTCGTTTGTGTGAAGCTATGCAATATCTACACACGAATAGACACACGTGAGAAACGATAATGTTAAAAGTTCGTTTTATTGGTATTCATTGTGATAAACTAAAAGTGTGTGGAAATGGGCGGTGTAAATCTTGGTGTAACCTCGTTCCCCTTCACGTTCGACAGGCGTTTTAGTTCGTTTAATCTAATCCGCTTGCGTGAATTTCTTGGAAGCATGCAAATGAAAAAAAAAAAAACGTTGTATAATAATAATTATAATAATAGAATAATACATACATACACATATATACACAAACAGACATTCATTAACATCATGACATCATAAAAAATTTCATATGCGATTAATCTCGTAATCGACAACTGACAATTGTTCGCGATCAGACGTCGGTCTCTAATCGATAGATGTGTTACTACATTTGTTATATGTAGTTATTAAGTAACGAGAAATATATATTTATTTTAGTAAGTTTTGATCACATATCGTATAATTCGCACAGAACAATTCTTCATGTGTTCGATATAGAAAAAAAAACTTTATATATTCGCTTAGCCGAAAAATCATTCTTATCGAGATTCAGAAACAATTTATTAATGTTTCTGTTTTTTAATTATAATTATTAATATGATATTATTACGTTGTAAATAGTCATTAATTTCGTTACTTCTTATATATCTTATTAACACTAGAGCTCGACGTTTTTTCGAATGTTTTATTTCGAATTCCAATTTGCATCTATTGTTTAAAAATTTCATCTACTTCATCTTTTAATATGTTAAAATAATTATATATGTATGTAGTATAAAAAAAACTGCGCTATAGAAACGGTATAAATAATTAATAAGAGTACTCGAAGCTTTCGAGATCGATTAACAAATTAATCTTTTAATTGAACTCGAAATTATCATTAATCATCCATACTTCAAAGTATTATCCATAACGCTTATGTGACGTACTGTGTATCATGATTTTTCATGTTGCTTTAGATTATTCATTAATGACATCGGTTAATACGTCTAATATCTAGTGTACAATTATATCGTGTAAGATAATATATAGAATCTCCGGAATAATATTTGCACATTTATATTAATTATATTATATTATATTATATTAATAATGAATTTTTAAATTAAATATAATAGATAAAAATTTGTACACAGGTATTAATCGTATCAAAACTGATAGACAACGTGAATACGGCTAGTATATCATAATAGTGCATCAATTCCCATCGTCGACGTTTCGATCTTTAATTAAATTCCTAAATGATCGAGTAAATGAACGATCGGGCAGGTCAATAGTGTAAGTGAAATCTGTTAACTTACGTTGTGTATGCGATATGGACTGATTGGCAGTGGGCGATCAATTGACTCTCTCGTTAACTCGTGCCAATAGGGATGAATTGTTATCAACGTGCTGCTACGCATACATAATCAATTGGCCCTTTCCATGTACGAGTAAGACGCGTAAATATTTCGTACGTAGTTATGTTAATATACGAATTAATGTAAAGTATAATAAGCGAAAAATTCGAATTTTCGCAAGATATTAGACGAATCTGAATAAATAAATTTTTATCATTCAAGATTGTTTGAATAACCAGAACAAAAGTAATGTAAATTAATGAATTGACATATATCTAATTATATTTTCAAATAAAAACAAAAATTTAAAAAATGAAATTTTTAGAATTTTTTCTAATATGAATAAAAAATAATATTTTTAAGAATTTATACAGAATGTTACATATTCATTTCATTCATTACCAAAAATTATTGATATTGACTGCTAATTTTAAAATTGAAATAATTTTTTAAACAAATAAAATCAATTTTAAAAAGAAAAAATCAAATTTAGATAATATTTATAACCATCTAGCAAAATTAACAATTTAGCATATATATATGACATAGATTTTATGTACACAAATAAAAATCAAATGGAGATTTCTTTGTAATTTTAGAATTTAAATAATTTATTTTCATTGTGATTAGCAGTTTACTGTTTTTATATGAACATAATAAATTAAGACATGATATAATGACATAATATTCATAATAATATCAGAAATACTGTAATTATTAATAATTGAACATTTTAATAAGATCGTATTAATATTAAATTTTGTAAAATATATAGTATTGGAAGTCTTTTATATGTAATGAAACTTATATTATATGTAATAAAATTTGTATTAATTTTATTATATTATATAATTCTATAAAATAGTTAACTACATAAAAAACATTAAAAATATTAATTATTTAAACAAATATTTACTTACTAGTATATATAAGATTTTAGTTTTACTTTATATTTAAATAATATTGAAGAAAAATATGCCTAAGTTTACAAAGAAATGCAATTATATCTGAAATTTCTACTTGCTTAGAAAAATCAATAATTTCTTTAAAATCCGTTAAATGTTCACTTTTAAGTGTGGGATGAATTTTTTCTACTGAAATATATAAAATTATTTACATACGCATATTAATTATTAATTTATAAACAATTAATTCATATTATACATTTATAATTTTTAGAAACAAATGTCATACCTTTCCATTGATCATTATGATTAAGTAATAGTACAAAATATTCATCTTTTATATCAGTATCATTTATAAAAAAAGATACTTTAATTTGTTCTTGTTCTTTACTATTGATTAAACGTATTCGAAAATCTAAATGTTGTTTATAAGTTTGACAAGCACATTTAATACTTTTCCATTTTAATAACTTTTCTTCTTTTCTTTTCTTTGATTCTAAAATAATATGTCAAAAATTTGCAATATAAAAATTATATATATATATATATCTAATTATAGAAGATACCTTCATTTAATTCAACAATTTCAATAGATAAACTATTTCTTCTTGATTTTGTTTTGTTAACTTCTTCTTCTAAATTTTCTTGTTCTTCTATTATATTGGCAATTTTTTTTATCTACGATTTTTTGTTGTAAATCTGTTGCATCTATCTCAGATTTTAAACTTTCCACTTCCTGTTGTAATTCTGATATTTTGTTACCATTTTGTGTTCTTTTTTCAATAAATTCTAGAAAAAAAAGGAATAAAGAAATATTATTATTATCAAATTATTGTTTATCATATATCAGACAAATTATTATTTATTTTAAAAATTGATAAGAAAAATAAATTATGATACATACATTTTTATATTTATTACATTACAAGCAGATTAAATTATAAAAAGAAAATATTTTTTTATTACATCTCTTATATATTTTTTGTATTTTTGTTTTCTATGAGATAAAACGAATCGATTAATATATGTAATATATTTATTATATATATAGGTTTATTAGGAATGCATCTTATATATACATAATATACACATATATATGTATATATATACGTATACATACCAATTTTATGTGTGGTTGCATCTTCAACTTTAGCGGCAATTTTTGTTTGAATATTAGAATAATATGATTTTAACTTTTGTATTATACTAAAATCTCTATTCTGAAGAACATGTGCGATATCAATATTGAATTCTTCCATTATCAATATGTGATTTTTATGTCTGTTTTTAACGTATTAAATTAAAATACATTTTAACGTACAATACTTAGCGTAGCCATTTAAGTTTTGAAGTAACAGTGCTACCACTAAACTGGACAAATGTTACTACTATTTATAACCTTAAATTTAAAAATTACTCTGAGATATTCTTCATATTTAAATAATGAAATATTATAAAATTGTCTATTTTAAAATAATTTTATTCAATTTCTAAAATAAAATTTAATAGTTTTTGATTCTATATGATGAATGAATTATATTACATATCTTAAAAAAAAGAATGATAACGCGGCAAACTTAAATTTCAAAATTAATTAAATATTAAGAAAAAATATGAAAATATAATCAACATTAACTTTTAAAAACATTTTTAATGATGAAAATTTTAATATAATATTGTTAACTTTTATTTAATGCGTATTTTATTTTATGTATTTGATTTTCAAATAAAAAAAAGTTAATGAGTTATTTGAATTAGATAAGGCATATAATCAGTCGTAATAATGAATAAATATTATTATTCAAATTCTCTTAATGTTTTAATACTATTTAATGATATTGTTTTTTATTTATACAGATGCCAATCATATCCTTATCATATATATAAATTGTTATCACATTTGAATCACAGCATAGATCTTTCTTATTTCATTCAAAGTTTAAGTACAAGCATAAGCATCAAATATGATGTTTAAATTTTTACCAATTTTCATCATCTTCAGCATTACTGCTGTTCTTGTACGTATAATATTCTATTTTATAATATTATTGAAAATATTTCGAAAATAAATTACTATGTAATTTTTTATTTATTTTTAACTTAATTATTATTTCAATAATTTATATATAATATAAATATATATATATATTTCAATATATATTCCAATAATTTTTCATCTTCCAATACATTTAATAAATTGTATTATTATTTTAACTAGCAGTTTTTATTGTAAATTAATGATTTTCTTCTCTTTTCAAAAAATATTTTTATATTTAAAAACTATTTTTCATAAAATTTATTAATATAGGCTTTTACGTTTGATGCAAAGGATCAATTAGAAAATGTTGTTAAGGTATGTATTAATTAATAATTCTAACGATTTTTATATATAATAAATTATAATAATTAGTAATATTAATAAAAATTTAAATTAATTAATATTTTGAATAATGAAATTCATTTTATATTAATATTAACTCTCTTTCTTTACATTAATAGTATTATATTTTATCAAAATATACTTGTTTATTTTTCATATAGAATTTAATAAAAAATCATATATTAAGTAAAAGTTTTTTAAATAATCAAATTTATTAATTTTTTTGAACTGATAATAAAATTAAAAATTTTTAATATAAATTTTAATGAAAAATCTTGTCATAGTTTGATGACAGCTCTCAAGCAAACTCACAGGAAGATAGCAATGCCAATAATAGTGACAGTGACAATGACAATGACAATGATAATGACAGTAATAGTGGAAGCAATGAAAATTTATCTGATTTTAAGAATCAAAATTCTCAACTTACTGATGATTTGGAAAAACTTATAGAATCTGTAGAAGATATACTTGAAAATGAACTGAGACAAGTAACAAATGAATCTACACATATTTGGGAAAATGTAAAAGACAAACTCAATTCAATCGAAAATAATTCCAAAGCGAATTTTCAAAATGTTACGAGTAATATAGAAAATATCTTAAATAATATTAACAACAAAACCCATAATGCCTTTGAACATGTTAGAGATATTGTACAAAACGAGACAGAAGCATTTAAGAAGGAACTTTTGAAAGCTTACAGAAAATTGAAGAAAGATCTAGCTAAACTTGAAGAAAATGGAAACAATATCTCGCAAAAAATACGCGAGGAATTTAAAGAATTCTTTGAAAAATCTTATGAAAAATTAAAAAATACAATTTATTCTCTGGAAAATGCAATAAATGAAGCTGAAAAACAAGCCAAATATATTTTAAGTGAAGTGAAAAATATTACATTAAACGAATTACAAAAGATCGAAAAAAAAGATGTAGAAATATGGCAAGAAGCAAAAAAAGATCTTCTATCAATGGAAAAAAATGCAGAAGATGCTATGAGTAAGATAACAGATTCAATGAAAAAATTGAAAAACGAAACCAATGAAGTTCTTCATAAAGTTTCAGAAGCGCTGAATGAAAATATAGAAGAAATCAAACGAAATGTTACTAAAATTGCAAATGAAGTGAAAGAAATCGTAAACAATACAATATCTGAGATCAAAAAGGCAGCAAAAAAATTTCAACAGGAAATTGAAGAAGATGTTGAAGAAGTCAAAGAAGAAGTGATTGAAGTCATAGATGATTTAAATGAAAAGTTATCTCAAATTGTCAACCAAACTGCTAATACTTTAAAAGAAACTGAAGAAATTCTTGAAGAACAATTTGAACAAGCCAAGCAAAATACTTCTCGACTTGTAGATAAAATAAAAGATATTGTTTCAAATATTTATCAATATGTAAAAAGTTCTACGTTAGAGATTATTGACAATGTCAAGAACGATATTAAAAATATTAAGTCTAAAAATGATGTATTCTTATACAATGTGACACAAACGATTGAAAATAATGTGAAACAAGTAAAACAAGAAATCTCGAAAGTCGTAATTAATCTTAAAAATAAAACACAAGAACAATTACAATATCTTAAAAACAAACTCGGTGAATTAAAAGGAGAAGCCTCGCAGGCTAAAAAAATTATTAGAAATAAAATAAAAGAAATTACTAAAAACGTTACCAATGTGCTTGATAATTTGGAGCATGGCATAAACAATACTTTGGAATATGTCCAAAATAAAACTTCCGAGATTATAAACCACGTAACAAATATAATTAAAGAAAAAATACAGGTAATCATACAGAAGTCTGCTCAAGTTGTAGCAGAAGCAACAAATACAATCGAAGACGTTAAAGAAAATACAGCTATCGTTTTGAACAATACTTTAACTGAATTAAGGAAAGATGCCAACAATCTTTTGAACAATGCCAAGGAAGATGTTCACAATATAACTAATCAACTTGAAAACCAAGTTTTTAATGTTCTCAATAATATTAAAAACATTACAAAAAATTCATTAAAAGATATTGAAAATATTACGTCTTATGAAAAAAATTTAAAAGAAATAATTCATAATATTTCAAAAGATTCTAGATCTCTAATAAGTAATGTTTTGAATGATATTCATGATACCATTGATGTCATTCTCAATGATACTAATGATGCTATTGAACATATAATTAATAATGTCAATAATGTTACTTCTAATATTTTTCATGATGTAAAAGATGCCATACAAAATGGATTAAATTATACGAAAAATAATATAAAAAACGTATTTGATGGACTTCAGAATTCAGTTCACAAGGTTTCCGACGCTGTGCGTTATTTCAATGATAATGTAAAAAATATACTTATAGGTAATATAAATATTTTATAATAACTATTAAACTATAACTATTACATGTGTTACATTAAATATTAAAGAAAATGTAAATAAATTCTATAAATGATTTTTGTTATAGGTAATATAAAGAATCTTAGTCACAGCAAGTAAGTTTAATATGTATTTTCAAATTTTTCAAATAAAATATACGACATAATATCTATATAATATAAAATTATATATCTTATACTAAAATGTAAAATTCCATTTTTATTTCATAAATATTGTTTATATTTATGTTTAGTTCCCATTTGGGATCTTAGTAACAAACATAAACTACAGACTACATTATCTTAAATGGAATTAAAAGACAGAGGATTGGAAATTATTAAACAAATAAAGTAATTTTCAAATAAACAGCAGTGAAAAAACAAAATAAGAAATCAACATATTGAAAGTGTATGCTGATTTTTTTAAGTTAAAAAAAACATTTATGTTATATTAAATATAAATAACTGTTATTTGTGATATTAATAAAAATAGTTAAATCAAATATAAATCTAATTTAATAAACTAAATTATTGAAACATTATATTAGATTGTGATTCAGATGATTGTATATCATTCCAACAAGCTATTTCTGCCATTTCCAAATTACCATCTTCTGTTAATGTTAAAATTTGTTTTTCAGAATTGTCTTTAAGTTTTATAGCTAAATCTGTGATACCATCAGAATGTGATGCCATCACTGAGGAATGTGTTGGTGTTTCATTAATTTCAACAGGTTGTAAAATACGTACATATATTGGTTGACCAGTTGCAGAAATATTATCTACAATTAAAAAACATTTTATAAAAAAATGTTTTCTAATTAAACATGAACCTTAAATTCTTACCAGAAGTTAAAATATTTTGTATTGATAAATTTTCAGAATTTGATAATCTTATTATAGGAATATTTTCATTACGATTTGAAATTTGTGATTCTGAATATGTTTCAATAGTCATAATTGGTACATTTTGTTGTATACTTTTTTCCAAAATTGGAATATCCAGTATAGTTTCATCAATATCTTTCAAAGATGATTCTGAAAGACATTTAGAATATAATTTATTGATCACAGAAGCAAATCATTATAGAATTATAGAAAAGTAAATATTTTAGAAAACCTGTTTGTTTATCTTGAACTCTAGCCTGATCATTTATGTGTTCTTTCACATTACAATCATGTGATTCTTGTTGACTTTCATAAAATTGTACACCACATTTATCACAAAATATTTTTTGTTTAATGTGATCTCTAATGTGATGGACCATAAATGAATTATGAAGTGTGGTATATTGACATTTATCACATTGCAACCAAATATTACTTTTTTTATGTTTGGGCTTTTCAGTAATATTTGAAGATAAAATAACATCTTTCCTATTTTGATAAGTAGTTACAGTTTGACTGTTACATTTTGTTATCTGTGGTGGTTGAGAACGCTTTTGTTTCTCACTATTACCAAGAAGTTCTCCTTTTTCCAAAGAATATTTTTGCTCCAAAAATCTCAAAACATTATCACGTACATTACACATTTCAACATCAAGTCTATCAAGTGTATTAATAAGATTAGCACAACTTCGACAAATTACATCATCTTCCGATATTACTACCATATATCTATATTTTTATATAAAAAGAATAATTATAATACATTTAATTTGAATACAATGATACTGAAATGTGTATAATGTTCACATAATAACTGCAATAAGATACTACCTTTCACCAACTAATTCTCCAAGTTTTTCTATTACTCTAGTTCTTGATATTTGTGTTCTACATGTAGCCAAAGAATAATGACGTCCTTGAATCTTTGCATCACATACAAAACATTGTAACTCTTCCAAAAGTTTTGAATTATTATAATCATTACCAGTATCAGAAACAGTTACATTTGTGCAATTGTTGGTAATATCTTCAGAACAAATATCATGTCGTTGTCCTATTGACAACATTGAAGTTATATTTGCCATTGGACTAATGACAATAATTTTTTTTAATAGGAATCAAGGTTAGGATACAAAATAGGATATAAGGTGTATAACTGCAAAAAATAATACAAAATAAAGAATATATAATTTTGTATTATAAATATTACACTGTACTTTTCTTTCCCATATTTTATAATAATATGATAAGATTAATGTATCAATATAATATAATTTTTTCACAAAATTATTACCACAGTATAAGATCATATAGCTAAAATATATTTTATGCCATCTTGTGAAAATTGATGAAAATAAATACATAAATTATGAATCTATATATATATATATATATATATGTATGAAACATTCAGAATAATAAATATAAGGTAGTATAACAATAAACTATAGCACTTTCTTGTTTAGGAACCAGCATTGCTAGAATTCCCTAAAATAGAGAAAAAATAATAAAAACTATTATAGATGAAGTATAAACTAGATCTAACATTTAATGGAATTTTGTTTCCTATATTTTAAAATATCAATTGTCCAAAAAATCAAAGTTTGATATGTTTTCTATGATTTAGATTACTGGTTAATACTGGTTAATACTGGTTAATTGTATTAATTATATTCAATTACATTAAAAGTTAATATAATTAAATTAAAAAAATCGAAGAAGATATATCTTTCAAAAATAAGTTCATTTTATAAGGATTATTATTTTAATTTAAATTTCTTATATTTATTTTTATTCATCAATATATGGAAAATGAATTTATGTAAATATAAAATATGTATATGACATAAATATATCATTGTATAATAAATATATAAAAATAAACATATATAATATATAGTATATACTTACAATATATAAAAATTAAATCGAATATATTCTATTAAGATTTTTAATTGATAGGTTAGATAAAGGAGATAATAAAATTAATTAGATATCAAAGTCATCACACATAAATTTTATAGAACAAGTATAGATAAAAAAAATAGTAAAAAAAAGAATAGAGATAGGGTAATAATTGTGGAATCAGCATCATGAGAATACATTAATAAAACTAATATAGACAAGAAAAAAAAATAGAAAAAAAATTAATAATCAGCGCCATCTATCGTCTGCTAAAAATATCTGTTCAAGACAAAGGATAAAGTAGAAAAGAATTAAAGATGATTTCTATAAAAAATATTTATAGAAAGATATTTATATTATATTGCATCATTATATTATCAGTTTTCCAATTCTCATTAATGATTATAATCTATTTTTTCACTATTACTGTATTTCATTACATTGTCTAAACATTTTTTCCTTATTTTCCTTACTGGCAACCCTGCTCTTGATCTCTAGAATCTATTATTTTAGTGCCATTCTCAATATTAGAGATTCAACATAAAGTAAAAGTGCATGCAGATAAACTCTTTCATATATTATACAAAAAAATATAAAAATAATATTACAATTATTTTTTATATGTAAAAAAATAAAATATATTAAATTTTATCATTATGTAATATTATTTATTTATTAATTTATTATTAATGAATTTAAATAATAAATTAGAATAATAAATAATAAAAGGAAATTTTTATGATAAAGATAATAAAATTTATGACAAATATTATATAAACATAAAAATATACATTTATATATTGAATACAATTGAATACAACAAACAAATATTATCATGAATAGTTTCTATGATTAAAATAAGAATTAAAAATTATATACAATAATTTGTATCTGTTTTAAAGGAAATTTAGTGCAGGATGGGACGTAATAAAGATTCAGAAACAGATAGTGTTTTATCTGAATTTGAAAATGAAGTAAAAAACATTAAAACTACAGAAAGAGAAAAGCCATATAAATGTAGTTTTGTTGGATGCAACTTAGCTTTTTACAGACCATCCAGATTACAAAGGCATATTAGATTTCATACTGGAGAAGTAACATTAATATTTTAAGATTTAGTTTTGATTATTTTTAATAATTTAACTTAAATAACTATGATTTATTTATTTTTAGAAAAATTATAAATGTAATTATTCAGGATGTGATAAAGCTTATACTAATAATTGTCATTTAAAACGTCATATGAAGAGTCATAATATAAAAAAGGCATTATATAAGTAAATATATATTCTTTTTAGTGCTTTATTGCTTTAAATCTGAACTTTTGATATTATACTTTCTATTTAAGGTGTCCAGAATGCTCATTATATATTAGTAATCGAGATAATTTGAAACGTCATTATAAAAGAATTCATGACAAATTGACTTGTGAAAAATGTAATGAAACCTTTATAAAAAAATATCAATTGAAGATACATATGACAACACAACATTTAATTTCATATAAATGCAATGAATGTAATAAAAATTTTACAAATTTAACAAAATTTAAAAGACATGAATCAACTCATAAGAAAAGTGACAAACAATATTCATGCAATATGCCTGAATGTAATGAGGTTTTTAAAAAATGGTTGCTTCTTTGTGCTCATATAAAAACTCAGCATGTACGTGGTAAGTATCTATTATTATATTTTTTATACATAATTTAATTTGAAAAAAATATTTAATTGTAATTAAATATAATATATTTTTTAAAAACACATATATTTAAAACATATAATATATTTATTTAGATCATAAATGCAAGGATTGTAATAAAATATTTTTGACCAAACGACACTTAAAAATTCATTCAAAAGTTCATATGGAAAATAGATCTGTTTTATCTTGTCCATATGAAAAATGTCCACGAGTTTATTATTTCAATTGCAATTTAAAACAGCATATACGAACTTATCATTTAGGAGAAAAATATGAATGTGATATATGTAAAATAAAGATTGTAAATAAAAAAAGATTAGCTGAACATATTCAAAAATTACACATGTCAGAAAAAAGAATAAAACAATCAAAAAAATTGCGCAAAAAACGAAAAGATGCTGGATTACCTAAAAAAAGTATGGTATCCAAATTAATTGGAATTAATTTATCACCAGAAATGGAAAAGATGATATTACAAAGAAAAGAAGATATAATATATGAACAATTTAAAATGGTACCAAGTGATGATTTAGATTGTAATTGATTAATTTTTTTAATAAAACAAAAAAATTATTTATGTATTAAATTATTGATTTATAGTATTTTTATAATTTAACACAATTAGATTTTTTTAATGTATCAGTATATTAATA